GTGACCTTACAGGAGGAGGGGACACCTGTTCGTCCGCAGGTGACCTTACAGGAGGAGGGGACACCTGTTCGTCCGCAGGTGACCTCACAGGAGGAGCGGACACCTGTTCATCCGCAGGTGTCCACACAGGAGGAGGGGACACCTGTTGGTCCGCAGATGACCTCACAGGAGGAGGGGACACCTTTTCGTCCACAGGTGTCCACACAGGAGGAGCAGACACCGGTTCGTCCGCAGGCGACCACACAGGAGGAGAGGACACTTGTGTCCACACATGAGGAGGGGACACCTGTTCATCCGCAGGGGTCCACACAGGAAGAGGGGACACCTGTTAGTCCGCAGATGACCATACAGGAGGAGCGGACACCTGTTCGTCCACAGGGGTCCACACAGGAGGAGCGGACACCTGTTCGTCCCCAGGCGACCCCACAGGAGGAGGGGACCCCTGTTCATCCGCAGGTGTCCACACAGGAAGAGGGGACACCTGTTCGTCCGCAGGGGTCCACACAGGAGGATGGGACACCTGTTCGTCCGCAGGGGTCCACACAGGAGGATGGGACACCTGTTCGTCCGAAGATGACCATACAGGAGGAGCGGACACCTGTTCGTCCCCAGGGGTCCACACAGGAGGATGGGACACCTGTTCGTCCGCAGATGACCACACAGGAGGAGGGGACACTGATTCGTCCGCAAATGACCACACAGGAGGAGCGGACACCTGTTCGTCCCCAGGGGTCGACACAGGAGGAGGGGACACCTGTTCGTCCGCAGGTGTCCACAAAGGAGGAGCGGACCCCTGCTCCTCCACAGATGACCACACAGGAGGAGGGGACACCTGTTCGTCCGCATGTGTCCACACAGGAGGAGCGGACACCTGTTCGTCCGCAGGTCACCACACATGAGGATAGGACACTTGTGTCCACACAGGAGAAGGAGACACCTGTTCATCCGCAGGTGACCTCACAGGAGGAGGGGACACCTGTTCGTCCGCATGTGTCCACACAGGAGGAGCGGACACCTGTTCGTCCGCAGATGACCATACAGGAGGAGCGGACACCTGTTCATCCGCAGGTGTCCACACAGGAGGAGGGGACACCTGTTCATCAGCGGATGTCCACACAGGATGAGCGGACACTTGGCCACACATCCAATCAGAGGGGAAAGCCGAGGATAACAACGGATCGTTCCCAGACGATCACCGTGCGAACAGGAGCAGATGCTCAGCTTCCATGTGATACCGAAGGCCAACCGATGCCTTTCCTGTCCTGGACCAAGGCTTCCAGCGGTAAGAATCATCCCACACAGAGCTATGCCTCATGTTTACCCCTGCTGTTTAAAAAACACACAACCAAATGAAGCACTATGATGTAGTATTCAGGCCAGGCTATGGACTTCTAAATTTGTTTTATTTTGAGAATAAAGTCGTAACATTACGAGAATTAAGTAATTATTTTACCGTAATAAAGTCGTTCTCTTACGAGAATAAAGTTGTAACATTACGCGAATAAAGTCGTAACTTTACAAAAATAAAATCATAACATTACGAGAATAAAGTTGTAAAATTACAAAATAAATTCATAACATTACGAGAATAAAGTAGTTCTATCATGAGAAAAAAGTCGTTACATTATAAAAATGAAGTCATAACATTACACTAAAGTCGTAACATTATGAGAATAATGTTATGACTTTATTCTCATAAAGTGAGGCTACCTCAGTGAGGTAGTCTCAGTGAGTTAACCTTAGTGAGCTAGCGTCAGTAGGGTAGCCTCAGTGAGGTAGCCTCAGTGAGGTAGCCTCAGTGGGTAGCCTCGGTGGGGTAGCCTCAGTAAGGTAGCCTCAGTGAGGTAGCCTCCGTGAGTAGCTTCAGTGGGGTAACCTCAGTGAGGTAGCCTCAGTGGGGTAACCTCAGTGAGGTAGCCTCAGTGAGGTAG